CTCAATGATCCGACCCAACATTTATGGGGAAGAACCCAAATGATTGAGGTCTGTGGTGGATGCGGAGGGCTTAGGCCAAAATATTAGTGAGGATCACGCATTGGGTGTATTGGGTGTCAGGTTTGTGTGAGGCTACTCAATGTTATACTCCATTTTGTGATTCAGTGGATTTTTACTCCTCCCTCGCCCATGGACATAGAACAAAGGCTGAACCACATAAATCTGTGTTGTTTTCTTCTTCTCTTCTTTTCTCAGTATCTCTGTGTGCTTCACCTGGGTTGGGGGGCAGGGGATGGGCCACCGCCCCCCCCCCCGGGCCTAGTTATGTAGCCCATGAAGAGAGAGAGAGAGCAGCCACTGTGCAACCAAAAAAAATATAAATCTCTATCCAATCCACTCCTTAGTAATGGCCTTTTTTAATTTCTAGTGCTCGCTTGGAGGTGCACCTCCAGGCATACACCTTCAGTGCTTTCTAATGCACTGATTACTGATTAGAAGCAGAATCCAGAAAGAAACCAAATTCATGACAAACACAATTCCCGTAAGATTAAATGCTTCTTACCATTACCATCTCTAGAAGATAATAGTGATCCGTCACTTCTAACTCCCCCTTTGCCACTTGCTTGAACCAGCCTCTGTGTCCGTGGTGACACCGAACTCAGTTTGCCATTGGTGGAGGATGGCAGAGAATGCCGCCTGGTGAACCCATTCTTCTCAGCCCCATCATGGCCAAACCTTGGGGAACCTTGTGCCCTGAGCTTTGCCTTGGCAGATTCAGTTGTTGCCATATAACTTGGCAATGACGGAGTATTCTGTAAACCATTCTCTGGGTAATCCTGCTTTGCTGGGAAAGAGGCTCTCCTCCTGCTAGTTTTCTGGTTCTCATTGCTAGCTGGGTCCTCTTTAGAGATCAACTCCTCATTTGTCAGATGAACATTCTCATCTTTCCCGTTGCTCTGTAAAAGTTCTAACTCAACCACAGGATGATCATTGTTTAGTACAGAAGTTGGTCCATCTGGTGTCAATGGTTTTGGGCTTGTTTCTACATTCAGCTGTTTGGACTCTGGAACCATTGTATCTTTCTTCATTTTCTCAGCAGATTCTCTCATGCCTTGATCTGAAACCTCAGGAGCCATAGAGCTCGGTGCCTTTCTCACACTGCGCTTTGGCTTTTCATTTTCAACCTCTATGCGATCAGGAACCTCTACCGTGGAGTTCGAAACCTTTCTTAAATTACGTTTAACTTTCTCAACCTCATTCTGTGGATGTTCTTGTACTGCATCTACTGGATGGCTTGTAACTTTCCTCAGGCTGCGTTTAGGCTTTTCAGATTCAGAGTTGGAATTGGTTGGCCCATTGTCAACACTTCCTGAACCAAACCTACGTACACTGCGTTTTTGCCTGCCTGGTTCAGTTTCTGCATTTTGAACATTAACCTGCTTTATCTGCAACTTTGAATCAGCAACCTTCTTGGGCTGTGGAAGCGGTCTCCAAAAACGAAATGATGTCCATCGATCTAGCCAGTTCCAGGCTGAATTGGGCTCATCTAAACCATACTGGAGATGAAGAGGCATTGCAACAGATGATGAAGCTAGAATCTAGAAGCAATAAAACAAAAATGTCAAGCGTCAAACTAAAAACATGATAGGCACAAGAAAGGAAAACGAACAAAAATAGTATAATGGAAAGTAAAACATAACATTATTACGGTTGTCCAAGTTCAATTAAACAGGAATACAGTAATTTTGAAATACCAATTAAAGAAAATATAAAAAAGTCAGGATACAAGAGAGGGATAAAGACTATCCTTCACTTCCCACCAATGCCACACAAATGCAAGACACAAATCCCATCAAGGAGATTTTCTAGGTCAAAATGAACCACATAAGAGAAAACCAATCAAAAGAAATTCATCCAACAGTATGCCACATATTTTTCTGGCTCTGTTAATTACAATGAACCAGAGCATATCTAACTGTAGATGATCTACCAAACATTTTTTCCCTTTGACATATCACATCTCATAAACAGGAAGTTATGAAACCAATTAACCCAAACCCACCTTGTGTTGTGGAATTGCAAATCAGATTAGGGATGTTCAGTGCACCATAATACCATGTATGCTTGTGTTTCACTCTTTTACTATTTCTTTATTGCTCTATTATGGAGTGCTTCAAGAGGGACATTCTGTAATCAGTAGGGATATTTTTGGTGATTTGTATGTGGTCTTAAACCACATATATAAAATGGATTAGTGGCTGTCAACTGGTTAAGATGCAACCATTTCTCCCATTGTTTTCTTTCTACCACTTTTCTTATTCTCTATTGCTAGAACAACTTGGTTTTGAATAATACTGGTTACCAGGCATAGGGAACAGAGTTGAGCTTGCACCTCTACTCATATTCTCCATTGTTAGAACAACTTAGTTTTGATCAATACTGGTTATCAGGAACAAGAAACAGAATTAAGATGACTTCTTTGCATCCCTTGAAAGCAGAAATAGGGGCATCACATAATCATCTTAACATCCATACTTCACCAAAATTTTGAAAGAACCCACATTTCCAAGGGTGGGCCCAGTATCCCACACAAATAATGGACCATGCAGACCAATAACTCAACAACAAATGGTCTGGGTTGTCTCATTTAAGAGCACATACTGTTTTAGTATAATCATGGTTGTTTCTTACCTTACAAACAAAAGCATTTTCTGATGGCTTTTCTGTCCATCCAAAAGACTCCAATTGCTTACTATCCTGACAAAAGACATAGATGCGTTATTGTTAGAAGTGGTGGAAATTGACTAAATATTTTGTGTATCTCTCTAGTAAGTTTGAGATGTTTACACATAGAGAACTACAGGAGCAAAAGAGTGATTCCAAACAAAACTGGTACTTCAAGATTAATGGTGAGTGAAGAGTTTCAAATCAAACTATCATGTTTACAAACTATTGCTGTCAATTGGTCAGGTCTGGTCCAGGCGAGGGTAAACCAGGACCCAACCCAATAAGTAAATGTGCAGAACCAATTACGAACCAGACCCTATGGTGCCTTTAATTAGGACTATCAGATCTGACCCAAGAAGACCTGATTATAATTGACAGGTATGCTTTTAACCTATAATTTGACAGTAAACCTACTTATTTATTAAATTAACACATTTGGGCATTATAATGTGACAATATTACAAGCACATAATGAGAAGAATAGGTATTTGTCATGCTGAAAGAGAAAAATAGGTAACAGAATGGAGGCATCTTCATAATTTGCCAATAATCAATTGGGGTCTTAATCAATTCAGAACAACCAAAACCAATCTCAATGTTTTAAACGCACCAGTTGCAAAAAAAAAAAAAAAAAGTGCAAGGGGCATCTTGTGCGCAATAGCACAAGGCAAGGCAACACGCCTTTCCGATGCAAGGCACAAAAATGGGAAAAAAAAAGCTAAAATTTTCAAAATGCCAAAAATTCAAAAAATAAGCAAAAATAAAAATATTAAACATAATATTAATTAAAAATATAAACTTAAATTTTAAAACAAATGTTTTAAAAAAACCCATTATCTAAAATTAAAATACATAAACTTAACATGTAAAATATAATTAAAATGAAAATTTAAAAAATAGAATCAAGCATAACATATAAAAACATATTCAAGCATGTACAACTCTCAATTTCTTTATTCTTTTCCCAATTGCATTACTTCAAATAGCTAATGTCATGTTAAGCTGAGCATTATGCATTCCTAATTCTACAAACCACCTTTGTACCAAGCCCCTCAAGGCAAGCCAAAACAAGTCTATATCAAGGTCTTAAATTCTTAATCCCTATATAAAAAAAAAATTATAACTTTAATTGTCTTTTAAAAATATCTTTTATTAGGATGAATAAATGAGACCCCATATTTGCTAATGATGCTCATTCATTCATCCTAATAAAAGATATTTTTAAAAGACAAATTATAAAATCTTTTTATGGGGATTAAGAATTTAAGACCCTTTTATGGACTTGTTTGAGCTTGCCTCAAGGGGGCTTGGTCATAAAAAAACAGAAAAATGTGCAAATTTTCAAAAGGTATGTGCCTGGGCTGAAGGCTGAAGGCTGAAGCAGAAGGTGCACAAGGTGCACGCCTTTTGAAAGTGCTGCGCCTGGGGACCAGGCGAGGTGCATACCTTAAAATGCGCCTCACCTGGGTGCCTAGGCACGCCTTTTAAATCACTGACCCAATTATAACTGGACACATAATACAGAAATAATTGGGTTGGTTTGGTTCAGATCTGTTACAAACCACATGCATCATCCATCAGTGTGATTCCCATTGCTATCAACAAGGGAAATGGAGAAAAGCAAATTACCAAAGCTGTTTTGGATTGGGGAAGAAACAGAAAAGCAGGATGGAAAGAATTCCTCCTGAATCCTCAGAAAGTCCTCTACTTTGCTGTTTTTTCCATCAAGTGGATGGATAATAAGATTAGGAGGGGGACTAATCATTCTGGAACCCACCTAATCATGGATTGCATCCCACTTTTCCACTTCCGCCCCTTCCCCTCAGAAACAGTCCAAGGTAAAAAGTCATAAACAATAAAAATATCAGTCTTCAACAGAAGTACATGTATAGAATATAGCATGTCTCTTGAAAATTATTGCCATATTCTTTTCTGACCTTTCAAATATTACACCTAATGTTTTTACTTGTAAAAGAAGGAAGCAAAAGAAACTTTGCAAAAACGTTTAATTAACCATACAGGACAAGGAAAATAAGAGAGTTCTAATAAAAAATTACCAGAGCCTTTACAAGTCTATATTTTTTATGCACTTTGAGAACGGTATCAGAAAGTCTTGCTCTTCGACCACGAACCAATGCCTGTAACTTTACAACTCCTCGCATACAGTGTAAAGTAGCAAGAGCTTGTCTCCTCACCAAGTGGCCACGAACAAGCGCCTGCAGCCTTATGATACCCCTAAGAGCCCGAAATGCCCGCCGAGCCTTCACAAAAGATGTGTTATAGCACTAGTAAGACCCAACATGAGCAAAGAATCCAAAACAGAAATACACCCAGCAGTATAGAAGATTTACTCCATTAGTAGTATTGACATGTTTAACAGACAAAAGAAGATATCTTCTAACAGATGTAGCACGTGTGAGCAGTTGGTTGATGCTGCACCACGTGGTATGCACATTGACAAGCCATGCATGAATGCAGTTGGAATACACCAGAAGGATTATTCTTGTCATCTGATTTATCTCATTATTCTCAATGTCCAGAAGAGATTTTGAGAAACAGTCTAGGAAAGAGAAATCCACAAGTCAAGTGGTTACCATCTCCTGGTGGGGTTAATATTAAGTACAGATGATCTTTACACAATGGGGCCAACCACCCTGTATCCTTTAAATAATAATATCTTATATTATATCATCCTCTATCACAACAGAAACAAAATTGAAGAAATGCACATTGGGAGAAATAATTAGTGGTCAAAAAATCGAATAATAATTGCAGGAATTACAAGTATAAAAATACATGAAAAGAGCTAAGGTCAATGATAACAGGTATAAATGAGATAAAAGCAGCAATACAACATCATACAAGAGATGATTACCAAATAGCCCCTAAAAGCAGCCTGTGCCTTTGTAGCAGCTTTCTCCTGCCGGATTCTTTCTGGATCATTTGGTCCACCAGATCCTGTGTTTCTTTCTTGATCTTTATCTTGAGATCCAGGCAATGAAACATCCCCATCATGTGGTAAAACAACACCCTTTTCTGGCTCTAAGTTGCCCCCACGTCTATCTATAGTGCCAGGTGCTGGGTGTGAAACCAATGGTGGATCAACAGCTGAATCAGCAATTGGTGCCTTAGCAGCAATACAAGCCTCTTTCTCATTTCCAGTTCGCTTCATGAGAACATAAAAATACAGTTAGAAACAACAAGATAGAGATAAGAATAACAACAAACAAATGCCTAACATTGGTTCATTAATATTTGCAAACCAGAACAATCTCCAACAATAGAAATGAAAGGACTTAAAGAATTCTGAAACAATAAAAGAGAGAATTCTCAACAAAAACGGGTTTGACTAGTGCAAAGTAAAAGATATCATTACCAACATGCAGCCATCCAATTTCATTCAAAATGTGGCCTCACTACCTGATGGCCCTTAACAAAGCTTGACTTTGGCACATCATTGGTATGGGATTAAAGCACCAGCAGAATGTGGAGCTTAGCACTAGATAAATCTCTAGTTGGCTTGGAAGAAAGTAGTTCACTGAACATAAGTGTAAAATTCATGGAATGTTTCATTAAGGACATCATACTGACCACTATCAAGATGGAAAACAGGAACTGCACAAGCAGTGGCTGGATAGAAAATTCTATATCTCAAAGATAATTAATCCCATCATCCCATGAACAACTTTGTGATACAAGATACAGTTTACATGAATGACCAAAAACTAACGCACAACATCATACGACCACTATTGGGACAGGAAAAGAAGAATTGCACAAGTAGTGGCTGGATAGAAAATTCTATATCTCAAGATATAAACTGTCCTATAGACAACTTTGTGATACAAGTGCAAATTATACAGACAATATAGTTAATATAAATTACCAAAATTAACCTGTATGGTGCTCTCTCAAGTATAATAGAAAATATAGTTAACAAAGTGACAACAGGTGATCCTTAATACCTAGAAATGGTTCTCTAATTCATAAAACACTTCTCAAACTACAGAGCTGACCATGATTTTCGATCCATCGTTGACCCAGACAGTCAGACCATTCAGCTGGGAAACGAGCCAGGCAATCAGTTCCATTTCACCCATGAACCGTTCTTTTGCCAAAAACTGTTGACTTGGTCAGCACCCTGCTGATCCAGGCAGTCGAACCATCAACCCATTTGAACCAGACGACAGCTTTTGGTCGTTTTTATTTTAATTATTTTTCATTTTTTTACTTTTTATTCTTTATTTTTTAAAATTGCAACAGGCTGATCCGTTCGGGCAGGACGATCAAACCGCTGACCCAGAAACCAGTGGCCAAAGTGGTTCCAGTTCTGTGCCGGTATTTAAAACATTGGAGACAACAATACTTGCAACAACATGATTCAAAACACTGGTGATAGAACTAACAGTAGTTGCATTAGTAATAATAGTAGCATTAATAAATCATGTTGTCAGGAACAAGATCCTTGAAATTTCAACAGGAAATGCTAGGTTAGGACCAACTTACCGATACCTCCCTTCCTTTTGATAAATTAGATTTGGATGTTTTCTTCCCAAAGAGTAATGTTTTTAACCATTTTCCTGGAGACTTTCCCATTGCAAGAAGGCAATGATACAGGATCACCAATCCTGACCTTCACACCCTGTACAGTTAGATATGGTTATGGCTTGTATAAAATATAAAAGTAAAAGGCACTCAATCAAGAAAATTCCAAATTTACATCAAAAACCTTAATCCAGTCAGATCTCCCTTACTATATGAATTAAATAATCTCCAAGACAATTACTTCAAAGTTATAACAGATAATAATATTTACTCACAAGGACATACAAAAACAAGGCATCAAATATAAAAACAAATTAGTCAACGTAAAAAAAAAAAAAAATCTCATGTCAAAAATATCAATAAAATCCCTCAATTAATCCGAAGGATAAGCAAAAATTCTCGGAGCCACTAAAACCTGCTTCCGGCATTCACTATCCATTACAATGACACAGTAAAATATCACGAGAAAGAATTAAAAAAATTAACTCCTTCAACGTTTTCATGGTCCTCGGACCGTCGGACGCATTTGCAATCAGAAACAACCGTCGAAAAGTGATACGGAGAGATCCAGCTAAACTCCAAACAACCAGAACTGAAAACTTACTTGTGGTATGATCTTACTCAACACACTCACAAATCCAAAAATGTCCAGAAAGAATCTAATAGAGACCAAATGAAAAGACTAAACAAAAACACAGTCAAATCCATTATGCTCAGTGAAGAAATTAAACAAATGCAACACCAAAAACATGGAATTTAACAAATCACAGAAGGGAACAGAACTCAACTACTTAATCAAAGAAACAACAAAACAAAACATTCACGGAATGAACCTAAAACAAGGTGAGATCTGCTCGAGGGACGCAACACAAATCTTACAGCAAGCACAGATAATCAACTAAAAGAAAAATGAAATTAAACGGATAAGAGAGACAGAAGAAGTAAAGTAGAGAGCAATAGATCTGGAACTTACTAGACAAATGTGCTCCTTCAGAACCCTATATCTACCATTCCTGGACACCATAAACACATAAGAAATCTAGGAAAAAGGAAATGAAAAACAAACAGCAATGTTCATAGATCTGAAGAATCGATTTAGAAATTACAAAAGGAAACAAAACAAAATCAAAGAGAGAAGAGAAGACATTGTTTGAGAACGAAGAAGGCTAATGTACCATAAACAACCGTGTAACAGACGAAGAAGAGTAAGAAACCACGGGCCAATCCATTTTCTTCTCCCTTCTCTCTCCTGGCTGAACTCCTTTCCGGATTCCACCGATGAGTAAACAAAACAAGCAATTTCTGAAAAGGAGGAAAGGAAAAATAAAAATAAATAAATAAATAAAGAAGAAAGGGATCAAGATGGAATAAATGACTGCTTTGGACTCCAAGTGCATTTATTTCGGTTACATGTGTCTTACCTCTTTCTCAGGTATCATTATTTGACGTAAATAACCTCCACGTTGGCAGAACTCATAACCACTGCTTCTTTACGTCTTCTCCACTCCGGGAGAGCCAAGAATCCTATGGTAGGTTGTCGGGAGAAGGGTAATATAGGCATTTTGGTAGAAAGTGGTCTGCCGTCAACCGGAATGGAAGAATCAGAAATTAACCACGGGGAAACGCGCTGAAAAAGCTCCTCTGTTTCGGTAAAATAGTCACGACTCACGAAACTGGTCATATATACCCCACCCACCCATAAGGTATAAATAAGTACATAACATGCATAATTACGGAACCACCACCCGAACCCGATGGATTGTCAGCTGAATCCGCATAGGTCCATGGTACGGCACTGACGTGGCACATAATAATTGGCCCGGAAACCTAGGGTGACTTTGAGGAATCTGAGTGGCCCAATCCGACGACAAATACCTAGGTCCGCAACGTGTAACGAAGCTTAATGATGAACCGTGGCAAAATAAATGGATCGAAGATCCGAATTTCACAAAATGAAATTCAATTCTCCATTCGATCGAACGGCCGATAGGTTGTGTGTAATTTTGTCGCGACGGAGCAAACGGGACCCGTTCGGGTGGATTTTCCTTTCCAAGGAATTATTAGAATGGGATTATGGGACCACGACCACGACCACGAGAAATTTTTGTACACTAGAAGAAAATGAGATCTGATTGATTCTAACATAGAAGAGAAAGAAACATCTGTTCCGACTTCCGATGGGTGTGCTGGATGGAAGCAGGTATTGAGCGGTGGATATACTTTGCTCCATTGGGCCTTGGCGGCTCGGTCCAATTGATGGACTGCTTTCCCTAACCCAAAAATGACGAAGCGATGTTGTATATTAGTGATCTGATTTGGGTTGGATGTAGTATCAGTATCATCCCTCACTCACTTGTATTTGTGTAAATGTACTAATTTTAGTATATGTAAAATGATGGATGGTTCAAAATTCTGAAAGTACACCGCGGATGTAGATGGGTGATGTAGTGGGGTGGGGCTGGCTCAGGGTTGACAATGAATATTAAAATTTGAAAATATATAGGCCGCTTCTAGACTGCTAGTGCTTGGCACTTCGTAGTTTGTACGCGGCAACACCAGCAGCAGTAGTCGGTGGATGGCTGGAGACAGGATCTGCTCCTGACATAGTGCGTCTCACTCGCACCTCACACACACATCATACCATGCAGCATGGGAACATCTCCCGTATTTATGAATTATTATTTACGGGAGATGTTTCTAATGCACAGTGAATGTGCATGTGAGGCGCCCCCGGATCTGCTCTTCACACAGGGCGTCTCACATCGATCTCACACACACATAAATTATTATTCACGGTAGATGTTCTCAATGCATAGTGGATGTACCTGTGAGGTGCCCATGTATGAGGAGCAGATCCCATCTCGTCTAAAATTCCGGTTTGTTCCTCACAGAATGCGTATCTCGTATCAACAGCTATGCATTGAGAACATTTTTTCATGAATAATGATTGGAAAATGTTCTCAATACACGGTTAAGATGGGCTGTGAGGTTGGTGTGAGATATTTTAAGGGATCACTTACTTTCGCCTTTCCAGAATGCTTTTACACCTGGCCGTTGTATCCATGATAACCRCATTATTGCTGCAGAAGCTATTCACAGTTTAAGGAATATAAAGGGCAGAATGGGCTGCTATGCTTTGAAATTAGATCTCTACAAAGCATACAATAGGATGGAATGGAATTTAATCAATTGGGTTCTCAGCCAACGAGGTTTCTCATCTTCTTTTCGAAACATTATCAGGGGTTGTATCTCCACTGCAAATATGCGTGTTTCTCTAAATGGAGATTTAGGTCCGATAATCCGCCCGGGAAGGGGGCTATGACAAGGGTGCCCTCTCTCCCCTTATCTGTTCAATCTTTGTATTGATGTCCTCTCCAGAATGTTGGTGCATCAGTTGGAGCTCGGTCAGCTTAAGGGTCTCAACTTTGGTAGGGGTTCTTGTAAGGTAAATCATCTCCTCTTTGCCGACGACATTTTGATATTTGGTCGAAGTAACCCCCAGGAAATAAATTGTATCAAAGAGGCATTTGATTCCTTCTTCTGTCATTTCTCGGGCCAAAGATTTAATTTTGGAAAATCATCAATTTTATTTAGTAAAAACTCTCATCGTAGGCTGAGGTCCCTGCTTGCAGGGGTTCTTGGAGTGCAGTTTATGAAACCAAAGGACAAATATTTGGGGGGGGAATCAATGCCATACCGGCACTCCATATAACTCCCTATTGGCATTTGCAATTAGATCTCAAAGCTTCCCAGGGACTTCTGGTGGGGGAGCATAGGCGAAAAACGAATTTTTTATCTAAAAGCTTGGAACTCTTTCTTAAAGCCCAAGGCCATTGGTGGGCTGGGCTTCAAACGGTTGGAGGTGAAGAGTTCTGCAATGTTGATGAGACTTGCTTGGAGATTCCTTACTGATAACCAAAAATTATGGGCCCGGGTTCTTACTGCAAAATACTTAAAGAATAACAAGTCTTTCTGGGCAGCCAAGAACCACAACCACTCTTCGTTTATTTGGGGTGCTATGCTGGAGTGTAGACAAAGCTTGTTGGGGGGTGTAAAATTTTGATTGGGGATGGGTGGAGCGTCAGAATTTTTGAAGATCCTTGGCTTGACAGGCCCATCTCGCCTCATGCACATTTTGTTCCGACCTTGGGGGTGAAAGGGGTTGCTCAACTCATTGATCCATCTACTGGCCGCTGGTGCTTTTCTAAGATTCATGCTCTTTTTGATGCTGATACCATGGAACTATGGAAGCTATTCATCGTACTCCCCTCTCATTGAACCCAGATTTCGCTTGTGACTGATGGGTTTGGACACACTCTCCTAAGGGCCAGCTCACTTGTTCATCAGCATATCGCTTTTTATGTGGTGAAGAGGCGTGTTCCTCTAATAGTGGTTGGGCTTTCCCCGATGTCTCTTGGAAAGAGTTTTGGAGCTGTAGTAAGTTACCTCCTCGAGTTCTCGTCTTTCTTTGGAGATGCTTGAACCATTGTTTACCAACCAGTGCTGCCATGGCTAGACATGCTCCTAAATTGAACGAGATATGTTTTCTATGTGGTTTGGAGGCGGAGACAATAAATCATCGTTTTCTTCTTTGTCCCACCATGAGGCCAGTGTGGTTTGGTTCTGTTTTGGGCTCAAAAATGGACTTTGGGCTAGTTAGGGGGTTGGATGAGTGGTTGTTGTTGTTGTGGAAAAATAATGACAAAGCCATACTTAGATTTGGGGCCATCTTAATGTAGAATGCTTGGAAGGCCAGATGCAAGTCCCTTATAAGTGGGGATCCTTTTATTCCTGAAAGTATTATCATTCGGGCTTCGGCCCAGTATGTTGAACTTGCCAAGCTAGAGGAAGCTGATAATCACGTGATTGCGGGGTCTGGCCTCAAATCTTCTCATCTCCTGGATGCCTCCTTCGACATCCCAGATTAAAATTAATTTTGATGGGGCTTCCAATGAGTTTCAATCCGGCCTTGGTGTTGTCTTTCGAAATCATAAAGGAGAATTTTGCTTGGGCTGGGCTATTAATGTGCCTTGTAATCACCCAGAAATTCTGGAAGCTTTGGCAGTTAGGGAAGGTTTGTTGCTGGCTATTGACGAAGGAATTAGGTCGGTCTGGGTTGAAGGAGATGCTCAGCAGATTGTTAAGTTCCTGTTGGACCGATCTCTAGAGGTCCCTTGGAGGCTGCATCATGTTTTGGCCAATTGCAGGAAGTTGCTGCTGGAGTTTGATCAGTTCCATATCTCCTTCATTCATCGTATGGGTAATTCTGTTGCTCACTATTTGGCGAAACATGCTTGTTCTATTTTCAGACCAAATACCCGGTCCATTTCTTACGCCTGTACTGTTAAAAGATTTAAATCAATGAAATTGCTTTCGGGCTTATCAAAAAAAAAAAAAAAAAACTTTGAAAAGCTACAGTATACAGACCTGCTGCTCCAACAAAACCCAAGCGGGGTTCCGTTGTTTGATTTTAGTGTTGCAAATATTTTAAATGGAAAAATCAACCTGATTGATTTTTACTTTTATGATACCAATCCATTGGTTATAAGTTTTTTTTCAATACGTACCATGTTTTCAAACATCATAATCGAATCTGAAAGCTGAACCAGTTTAACGGGCACCCTTTCTGGTTCCCAAATGTGAACCATCTCAAATATAATAGACAAACGGCCCAAACCGTTGACTATATCAAAACCCGATTGAACCACCTCCTCTTAAAGTTTAAGACATTTCATTTGTCTTTTCTTTTGTTACCTAAGAAAAAAAAAATCAAACCATAAAAACCCAGTTGAAAAGATGTTAAATGAAATTTTATTTATTTATCTATCTATCTATATATATATAGCAAAATAGTCCATGTCACCACGCCTCTCCTTGCTCCAAACCCCCTTCCTAATTTTCTGTTTTTTTTTTTATTTTTTTAGATTTATTAGTTTCACATAATTACCCATTAAACCAATAAAGAAATAACATAGTCTCAACTATTTTTAATGACCATAAAAAAAAAGGGATTTGCTTTTTTAATGTTTATCCAAGTGACACCATCCCCCCCCCCCCMCTTTCTCCTAAATTATTTCTAATTCTTATTTATCTCATAAATTATCTCTAACTCCTATTTATCTGTTAAATTATCTCTAATTTAGTAGAAAGATTCCCTCATAAACTATCTCTAATTCCTATTTATCCTCTCCCCCATTTTTATCTACATTCATCTAAAGAAAATTTCAATTAAAAAAATTCAAAATTATTTAAATATTACAATGAAATTATATATTAACTTTAAAATATTTATTCAAAACACAAAATGTAATTATAATAGATTTAATAATATTCATATTATTGAAAATTCTATATTTTTA